CCCCCAAGCACCCCGTCCCCGTCATCGTTCTGCCACTAATAATCGCCCCGTTTTACTAACTAAACGCCTGGAACAATCCATGGGACGGACAACACTTCATAAGCACAGCTGCGAAGAAAACTATTCCTCCCTTTATACAGTCAAAAAAGTGAACAGAATTTATGATGTACACTATGAGATTTGTTATCTCCATTTTCTGTTGACTTATTTTGCCTGAACAACTTGTACTCATAGACTAAATTATTCCTTGATTTTGTGATGAACCAACCTGGATGTTATATTTTACATTTCCTGCATAATGCTTTATGACAAATGCCTGATGTATAAGGGACTGTTCGTAATACTTGTGGCCTGAATGATTCTTGTCCAGCTTGGCTAGTAAAGAACTTTCCGTGGCACCGGGAAAACTGAGGAGGTAATGGAGGCAAAATGAATTAACTGACTCAGTGAGCGGCTGTCTGATTAACTTTGTGATTGACTGCTGCACAGACTTGCTCACTTTCTAATAATCTGACTGACTGACGGGCTGATGGATAGACAGGAAAAGTTAGTTTTATCAACTGAGTTGATAACGTAAATTGGCTACTGTTACGAGTTTTCGTCATTCGCTCTGGCGAAGGGCTAACGCTCGAAACGTAAGCTTTACAACTGGTTACGGTGGGCAATTTAACCGATAAATTATCTTGCAATACCCCACCGACAAAACACCACAGCTTCTTTAGAACTGAACTTACCCCATTATTCATTTGATGGACAGACAAATAGACAGATAGATAGACAGACAGACAAACAGATAGACTGAAAGACAGATAGACAGACAGTTACTTTCACTGGACAACTGTCTGGTTGGTCCTATTTTAATGAATGGATTAAGAAATTGACTGACTGATTGACTGCCAGCCTAAGCAACTGATTGACTGCCAACCCAGCCGACAAAATCACTGACCAAATTCTGAATTGGTGGATTGCTTGCTGAATTAATAGCTACACATAACTGCCCCACAATTCAAATTAATTAGTGGACATACCTACTCTCCTCATCAATCAAGTTTAATAGACCTGTTGGCCGACCAGAAATCAAATCCAAACATGCTGCATTGTCAACAAACTCCACACTCCTCCACTCAATTCCTTCAGAAATATATTCATCCTAAAAAAAATAAATCAAAAGACAGGTCTTCATTCACACAGGAACATATACAAAAGTAACTGAATCAGTGAGTGTGACCTTTGCCCTTCTTCTCACCTCAGTACTTATGTTTGTTACAAGATCATGAGAGATAGAAAAGTTACACTAACAAAAATGCACGATTCAATTTTCTTTGATTGCCAGAGTTTCCCACAACATTTACATGAAGTGAAAACTTTCATGTCGACTACTTTTCGAGGCTCACCTCACATTGCATTGAAAAAAAGGAAGTTGACAATATGTCCCTACCTGCTCCAGCTTAAACACATGTTTGTTGAAGTAAAATTGAAGCTTTTCGTTGGCAAAATTGATACAGAATTGTTCAAAACTGTTATGCAGATAATCTTCAAATCCAAAAATATCCAACACTCCTATGGAGCATCCCTGAAATTAAACAATGCAGTAGTTATTACATACAGTACCTAGAGTGGGAACATTTTAAACATTGCTTTACGAACCACAGACTCATCCAGGAGGACTCCTAATACCATAATTTCCGTCCATTTACCCACATGACAGATTACCCACATCCATCAATTTGTACAATAACGAGGACAAAATTTCAACAGATTACATGCACTGGCAGAAAGTAAGAAAGTAAGAGTACCAACAAGATAAAAGCTATGTTATCGATTTTTGTATGTTTTTGATTTGCATCGGCTTTCATCGAAAGCAATAAAGTCTCTTATTGTAATGAGCAATCTTCACGAAATAAATGAGTTATTGCACAAGTTTTTTGAAGAGTATCTGTAGTGGATCTTATCACCTGTTTTTTTCCTGTTTAACTACACTGGAAGCTTTAAAAATTATTGTATTACCCGCACCTTCCTATAGCCCACACCAACAACTGTTTGTGGAAAAACGAACAGATTACCCACAGGTTATCGGCCGGAAATTATGGTAAGTTACAAAGTTTATGGCCCTGCCCCAGCATATACAAATAAAGGGGGTTAATGTGTTGCTGCATTGGTGGAAAGTATTGATAATTTGGTTGTATCATCTTCATTGTAAATTGTTAGTGAGTGAAAATTGGCCATCATAAAGAGTTTCTATAGGTGACGTTTCAAGTGTTAGCCATTTATCAGGGCAAATAAAGGGACTGGGTGGTGTATCAGGTTTATAAAATGGAGCTTGCAATCAGTGGGAACACTATTATGTGAAAAACACAGTATTACTTCACAGATGAATGAAAATGTATACAAGCCTACCTCTACTACATTCAACTGCTTGATAGCCAATGCATGGTTCACTTGCAACACAATCCAGTCAAACAGAGTGCCATACAGTGCTTTTGCCATTGCATCTCTCGTGGCTATGGCCTGAAAAAAGTTGGGTATACTTCAGTAGTTTTTTTCAACATTGTTGACCCCTAGGTTATGAATATCTTTGCATTATTGTCTGTTTGTTCCTTTTTACCTCTTCGTTTTTTTCTACCTTGGAAATCAGAATTTTCTCACAATTAAAAAAGCCAAATAACAGGCTTTCAAGGCTTAAACTACTTATGCAACAAGCTCTGTGAAATGATCTAAAGACATCCACTAGATATAATTTCTAAGTCAACTGAAAAATTGTTTATTTACAGCAAGAGGCTTTGAAACTCACCTCTTCGTATTTATAGGGTACAATAAACTGCTCATTTCTGGTTTTTGTTTTCTTTGTTGTTAAAACATCAACAAGATTACGCCGAGTAACCTGAGTAAGATAACAGAAAGACATAAACAAAATACATCTACCTCTCAATTTATCAACACAGCAAGTGAAATAAAACAACAGCACCTCAAGTCAAAATTAATTAATAAAAATAATTACAAAGATATTTATCTGAACCCAAACAAATTGACAACAATTGACATATAGCACATTAAGGAAAGTCTAATCTAAGGGTGATTGCTTGTAAACATGAATAATTAATTACGAATTGAATTGATTCTACACATTAGCACTAACTGAAGGAGTTCAACCAAAATCGATGGATGTGATATTTGTGGCAAAAATATAACTGTAAGTTAGAGTAGTTAGAAGATCTTAAAGAAGCTTTAGATTTATTACAAACCTACTGAAAACATGAATTGTATAATTTTGTTTACATATCAGACATGATGTCATAAGTTGTTTGAAGTAGTGAAAGGTTATAGATGCTTTTATAAAAGTTCACAATTGTTTTCATTCCGATTCTTCTGATCATATTCTACCCATCTGTATCACTCACCATTAGGAGGTCACACACAAAGTCGATTGTGTGATCTTCACTGTCCCTTATCATTGCTTCTTCCTGTCCTGGTCTCTGATAAAGAAAAACAAAAATTATATTGACTTTGTATATGCTAGAAACAGAAAATACATTAAAAACAAAACAAAAACAAAAATAGAAGATCATACCCGTGAAAACTTGATATTTCCAATATGCAGTACGGCAGATAAAATGCTAAAAATTCTGTAGGGAAACAAAAAGAAAGGAAAGAAAATTTTCAAAAAATGGGCAGTTAAAAGAAATACCAATACCAGACAAGAATGCAGGGTTTTAACACCTCGAAATTATCCCACAGTATTTCCACTACAACATGACATATTCCCTGACTTTATAGTATTAGGCTATAAAACAAAGTAAAATCACCTCTTATGCACATCAGCAGGAAAGCCTACCATTTCCATAGACTTTTTTAGTCTAAGAAATTCATAGGCTTCATCGATCCCTTCCAGGGAATAGCACTCATTCTGTAAATTGAGAAGCATAGTATTGGTTGTCTAACAAAAATGATATTATAATCAAAACCAAGAGCATTATATCAAACTAAAAGAACAGCATATAAAAAAAGGATTAATATTATATTCATCAACCAAAGTGACATTAAATTAGGAGTGATTGAGCAGATATTCTTTATCACTTAACAACAAATTGACCTTGGTTCAAAGTTTAAGTGAGTGTACTAATAATAAATTTGGCCCAATCTAAGCAATATTACATCCAGACTTCCCAGACTGTTGTTTAGACTTAATAAGAATAGAATAAGTCAAAGCGGTGTGCTGGAGCTAACACTTCCTTCAGAAGGGATGCGTATATGTCATTCTATCATAGTCATCAAAAACATGTCAACTTTCATAATGTCATTAAGTTCTAATTGAGAATAAATGACGAAGGATTTTGAACACACTTTTCATAGAATGCAAAAATGACAGCTGTTCAATGTTTTGACTTTGTCTAAAACATTGTTACCAAAAAAAAGGTTTGTCAGTGAAGTGAAAGGTAAGCACAAAGAAAGCATAAGCAAGCTATTTATACTTGTGTATTCAGAGCTTGCTGAAATGATCACTGGCACATAATGGTACCCATTATTTTTTCATTTAGATAATGCAACATCCTGTACACAATACAATCAAATTTAAAGTGGCATCTTTAATTAAAACACTGCAAGGTTTTTCACAGATAACCATGGTTTTTCTAAGCCATAAACTTGTTTCAGATGCTTTTCAACGGAAAACTGAAGGCCAACTCGTTCTGCAAGGCATTGATGTGGGGTCAAACAAAACTACAACACTGAGCATCATTAAAAAATAACTAAGAGAAGTGAAGGAATACCTGATTAAGATAACAATACTCCTCTGGTTTTGTGAGGTGGAGTTCCTCTTTAACTTCAGGACTTGCTCCAGCAAGTAAATAGTAAAACACATGGTAATTTCTACAAGATGTGACCAAATATATTACCTTAAAATAACACTGAAGCACAAAATTCCAGAAAAATATAATATGGATAGTTTCCCAAGTCATCTAATCCAAACAAACGTTTGTGGAACATACTCTACAGCTTTGGTTCATACTCTAAAACTGTTACTACTGACATTCTTATAGTTAAACTTTATTTATATTTCACATGATTTACTAAATTATGCAAATACATTTTAATACAATCTTAAGTTTACCTCTCCTCTGGAGCTTGAGAAACAATTCTTGACTTTTCCAACAAATATTTCCTCAAAGCAGCTCTAGTGAAAGAAAATCATAAACTCGAGTGATTGTTGAGAACACATTTATTAAAACTGGGAGTGTAGAATAGGCTTTGAGCCACTGCAATCAAAAGTAAGTACTGCAAGTTAACCCTTTCACTACCAAGATCTCATCAGTAATTATCCTTACTGTCTTTTATGGCAGACAGTGAGGAGAATTACTGATAAGATCTTGGGAGTTAAAGGGTTAACACAATTATAACTGAGTTTATATAATCACTGTGTACAAAAGTAATTCACTTCAATTAGTATCATCTCAGAGGTTCAAGCATAAATGATTCATCTCACATGGACTATTTCACATCTTCAAATCTTCTTATCAAGCAAAATACTATGTTACTGAGTCTGAAGAGACAATGCAATGTCGCACAAAGGCACCAAGTGTGTTCCTGCCTTAACAAAATTAACATGAAATTAAAAGGGAAACACTGTTCACTTTTAAATTCTGTTGTGACTTTAATTTCATGAAGCAATTATCATGTAACTTCAGAGTTCTTGTTACAACCTAGATACATACATTATCAAGCCAAAATGATTGAAGTAGACGAACAAATCAACTTGTGGGTGTCAATACAAATTTTTAGTTGAGTGTCACTAAAACCAGATTACATTTGGTACTGCACTACTGTGCATAGTGATTTATCTAGCAAATTCACACCAGCTTGTCAACCAGTCAGATGCAAAACAAAAACCAATCACAACTTAGTAACTCTTTTTTTTTCGGCTAGCAAATCAATGATCTTTGCAGGTGGGCTGCAAATTTTAAAAATTGGAGAAAAGATGCCTGAAATAAATTCAGACTTCAACAGGATTTAAACCATGAGCTACCCAGGTAGTTGGGTGTTTCAACCAGTTGAAAAGCTACAAATCGAGACAAATTTTTGGAGGATTCTGCAATTACCAGTACTTCACTTGGCTTTGCTTCACAAAACTTACCTGCAAACTGCTCTATTTTGACATTCAACTTATTAAACCTTCTCTTAACTACTCTGCTACATTAATTACAAGAGCTAAAAGGGAGAATTACTGACCAAATGTTGTGAATTGAAGGTTCTCTTTGAACCCAAAGGAGATCAGTAAAAATTAGAAATTTGAAACAGGAAGCAAGGTTGAACCACAAAATATATAACAAAATGATTCTCAGAAAAAGACATACCCACACACAGCTCCATCAGGCCTGAACTTGATTTGTGTGAATTTTCCAAATCTACTTGAATTATTGTTGTATGCCGTACTAGCATTTCCAAAAGCCTGAAATTGAAAATGTCAGCAATTGAAAATAACAGAAATATCTTAAAGATGTACAGTGAAAGTTCTCTGAATAAACACTCATAAGCAGAAAACTATACTTTCACTGCTCTTGCAAAACACATTTTGTTAACACTCATACAACTTTTGTATTTCCATCTTCCCTCAGGTGAATATTTGATAGAATTTGTCAAAATTCTGAGGAAGTATCAGGGTTTCAGATTAAAAAATGTAAAATTTCTTGCCCTGGTATATATTCTACACAATGAAAAGCAAAAAGCATCCTTTGTGAATGCTCTGAATATATTTGTCATGGAAAAGAAATCCATACCTACGAGAAATATCATTAGCATGGACCATCTCATACATTTTTAGAATTTCAAAACATGCAAGGGTATACGGAAATGTTGCAACACTGTAAAATGTGATTTTACCTAGGATGTTTCCAAAAAGTTGAAAATAATTTAAAGGCACTAGTGCTGCTTTCAATTTTAATACAACAAGAATGTTTTTAGTTAATTTTTTAAAACCGGCCTCCAAGTTATCATATGAATTGCTCCTCTGCCTAGCAGTCGTGGGACATAAGATAAGTTCTGTGAAAAACTTGAATAAACAGATCTATAGCTCAAAGAAATAATCAGTCACTGTGCACTTCTAATGCGACTACAGATAAATATTTCGATTTTGTTCTCAAAGTAAAGAGACTAAAATTAAGCGACAAGTAATCAGTTACTTTTAATTTCATTATAGAGCGGAGACTATTGTGGCTTCTTATATTTACAAAATTTATTCGCGTGTAATTGTGTCTTGAGACATTTTTTTCCCCTAAGAATTATGACATTATTTTCTTTTGGAAATTTGGAAATTTGGAAATTTCTTGCGTGAGCTTTACTTGAGACTAGCAAATACATTAACGTAGACATTTTCAAGTGACAAAAAAACTAATTGATTCAATCAGCAAGGGTAATTTACAAAGGAATAATTCCTAACCCAACTCACTCAAAACCTTGTCCTCGACTTGATCACTTCAAATACTCAATCAAACCACAACAATATCACAGGTCATCGAGAATACTTGTCAAAGATGTAAACTTTAAATTAAAGCGCTGTAATCAAGCCTCAAAACACAATCAGATCTGGGAATTATGATGCCATTACATACCTCAAGGACCGGACCGACTCCAAGAATGGTCTTCTCCACTGACGTAGCTTGCGTTTTGAGACCCAAAGCCGTCAAATGATGAACAATAAGTTTAGTACTTTCCGTTTTCCCAGATCCACTTTCGCCACTTATCACAACGCACTGACTTTTCTTCTCTCGCAGCATACGATGAAAAGCAACATCGGCAATGGCGAAAATATGTGGAGGAAGGGATCCTAAGTTCCGGTTGTTGTATGCATTTATAAATTTTGGATTGTACATAGGAAAAAAGCGAAAGGGGTTCACAGCGATGAGTATTTCTCCTACGTAAGTATAAATACGTCCTTGGGAAAACCTTTCTTCCAAATGTTTGAGCAAAGTTTGCTCTGATAACGTTGGTAAACAACAGAGATCATCATCGGAAAGTTTAGATTCCAGATCGAAGTCTAACTCGTGGCAGTTCCTTACACTTTCGTGGCAATCCATCCAGTGTTGTCGAAGTAGTTCTGGTTTCGTTTCGTCTCTGTCGTCGACCTTTTCTCGGATAAAAAGTCGATATGAAGTTCTGACTTTTGGAGGCAACTTTCTCCAACTCTGTTGGACTTGATAGGGCTGGTCAGACCCGCTCAGGACCCTCTCGCTGTCCTGGTCCAAAACACTGTCTCGATAGCAAACCTCGACCAACTCGAAATTTTCCGGTTTTTCTTTTATTTCCAATTGTCCGAGAGTCAATCTCAATACCTGCCTTGTCGTGGCAGTCTCCGAAACCGATATCACAGTGGATTGGACAGCGGCGAGCAACTGACCGGCGAATATGCGAAGTTTAACATAACGAGTTGTGCTAGCTCTTCTTTCAGCCATAGAGATATGGCGGAAAATGATACTTTTTACTCCAGCGACAACAATCCCCTTGTGTTGTCATTTCTCTCCAAGATTCCAACGCCCTTTCGAGTCCTTGCTTCAGCCGTCGTTGCGATCTATTTTCCGAGCAATTCCTATCATCGCACGGATCTACCGGTCGTTCGATCCGAAATAGTACCTCTATAGAAAAAATAGACACAATAGAGAAAATGAATACATTAGGGAATGGCTTAGATTGTCATTCATTCATTTTCCGTACTTGAGCACTCTCCTTCCTGGATATGAAGTCACACATCCGCCAATTTTACAAATTTTAATTTGAAATTAACCCGCCCATACTTGTACATATTCTCAACCGATTACATGTAACCCCGAAATACCGGCCGTATAATTTATGGAATCACGTCTACCCTCCATTGTGAAGAAAACCACGAACAATTCGACTCCCGTGGTCTCTCCGCAGGAGATAAAAGAGACAAAGAAGCATTTCTAGCAATGGCAATCTTTTCAATCGTGTTTTATCAGATGTAGCTTATATTTTGATACAAATCTTTAACACAAAAGAAACCGAACTGCGAAATTCGCACTGTCCTATACAAACAGAGTGTGTTAATATTGACAAATGGTTAAACCTCTCTCATTGGTTAAGTATTTGTCCTCCAAATCCTTTGACTCTGCGAGTTAACCCAAAATTATATTATAATCCATTTGTCTGTTAAGCTACACTATAAGCTCTATATCGGCAGAGAAACCCCGCTAACATGCAAGAAACAACACGCTCCGAATATCCGGTCGTTCGATACCAACAGTTCACTGCTGTTAAGTGCTCAAATGAGGAAGAAAACAGAATTTATAAAAAAGAACATCAAGACACTTATCAATTCTAAACTGTATTTTTAGAGATAAATACAGCCGCATTCGATCTACATGACTGAACCCTAAAATGGAAATGTCATGGTAAGAGAAAATCGATTTGAAACTTACCTTTCAGAATGAGCAAGGTCAGCTTCGATGAAGAGTTCCACAAATCCCTGACACTAATCGACTATTTGCATCACCGACCATTAAGCCTGACCACAACTTGTAAAAATTTCAAGAGATTTCGAAGCTGCGTTTTCTTGAAGGTCAGTCTTTCCCAGTTAAAAAAACTCTAAGCTAAGCAGCACGACTGAGCGACGACAATAAAGTGAAGAGTGCTCGGTCACCGCGCCCGCAAAGTGAATTCAACAAAACAGCATGCGCACCGAAGGTAACGCACCGGGTGGCTTGCTCTTAACTAATTACCAACAAAAGCCAAGAGTATAAAATTCATTAAAGTTTAATTGAGTTTGCTGTTGTTTTGGCGGAGAATTTCCATAATTTCACAGGCAAAAGGTCAACCAATCCAGTACCAATAACAAGAAGCTGACCTTTACGCGCTCAAAAAACAAATCTTTTGATGCCGTAGAAAAATACAAAGCTTTGCGAACAGTCTGCCATCTCTTGGATACAAAAGGTGGATAGCGACATATTTTAAAATCACACTTTTGATTCTCGAGTGTGGCGTGACAGAGGTGTGACTATAAACTTCCGGTGTGAAGTCACTTCCGTTTTGAATGACGTCATTGTCTCTACTAAGTTAATTCCTGAAATTATAACCTTACGTCATTTTTCTCGTATCTCTGCGATGCTGAATCATTTAAGAAATTAGTGACTAGTCCATTAAACGCACTCAATATGCGTGTGTCTCTATAATTCTTGACTCCAAATCAAGCTCAATGGTGATCGCGTTACCAATGCTTCGCGTTTAGGTCACGTAATCTAGCTTTCGTGCTATCAAGGATACAGCCGGATGTGTCGGAACTCTAATCGTGTTTCTTACAAAATAAAAGCCTATTAAATAAAGTTGATCATAAAATGAACACCATTCTGGCGCCTGGAGAGAGTCAGGAACATATTACCAAGAATTGCAGTGCTAGTTTTGAAGCCGTGACTGGTAATTCTGGTCCATCCTCTTAAAATCGCAATCAACCGAATCACAAAGAGGTCAATGTTTTCGTAAAAGTTTTTTTCTTAAACGAGAAATTGTCGCTAGTTGAAGCTTCTCACTCCAAGAAGAGTGTGTAAATCTGATACCACCTTCTGCGTTATTAACTGCTTCTTTCAGGATTATTTTGAAAACCGAAAAAGGGAAAGGTTGGAAGACGGACTAATACCGATGATAAATAGCCATGAGTGATTAAAATCAGGCCAAAACTCCGAGGTTGAGAGTTTAGATGTTAAAAAAATTTGGGGGAAAAAAAAAGAAAACAAGAATAAGAAAAATATTATGTGATCGGACGTTTACCTCTTGTAGGTTACAGCTCTTTTGTTGTTTCTTTTCATTTTTTTTTTTTTT